AATGGGTGGTTTTTCCACTCAGCGGACAGGAGTGGAGGAGCAGGAGTATCTGGTAGAGGAGGAGGAGGAGACAGAGGACCAGACGCACCGTGGCAGTATGCTATGGAGATGGAGGCAGGGAGTCCCTCTCATTCCTTGGCACAAATGGCCCATAGCATGCTCGGTTGCTTGCGTAGCGACAGCCGAATAATAACCATCAGACAGAGGGATGACTTTTGGCTGTCCACCTTGTTGGACCCTCGCTACTGTTCAAAAATGGTGGCCTTTTTCACACCTGCTGAGAGGGAGGCCAAAATAACGTACTATAAAAACCACCTATGTAGTCAGTTGGTCTCTGCCTTTGTGCGCCAACGTCCATCCTCAGACACTGTGGGCCCTGTGCGCTCGCGTTCCGCTGCCATGGCAGCAGGGGAGGGGTGGGGTGGTAGGAGCAGTGGCAGCTCCACCAGCAGCGGCTGCCTCAGTCTGCAGTCGATGATGAGTAGCTTTCTTCACCAGCGCAGTGAGGAAACTACTAACCAGCCGCAGCAGCAGCAGCATCAGGTGGACCTGGAGCAGGACCTCAAACAACAGGCTTGGGCCTACTTGGACAGCACCCTGCCAACCGAGGTAGACAATCCCCTTGACTACTGGGCAACGAAACTTGACCTTTGGCCCCAACTAGCTGAATTTGCCCTTGAAAGGCTTGTCATGCCCGGCCAGTAGCGTGGCATCGGAGCGCGTGTTTAGTGCGGCAGGAGGTATTGTTACTACTCCGCGGAGGACACGACTGTCCACCCAAAGTGTGGAGAGACTCACGTTTGTGAAAATGAATCAGGCGTGGATTAGTCTGGATTTCAAACCACCAGTTCCTGACACAACTGACTAAATCCGCCATGAATCATGCCCCAAACATGTGCCACTTTCAGGTCTCCTCACACTGCTGGTGGGTTCCATTTTGTCATAGGGTGCTGGCAGATTACGGGCCTCCCATTGCTGCTGCCAGGCCCGTAATCTGCCATGGGCCCCTGTACCGCCTCCTCATGCTGCTGCCAGGTCCAGAGTCTCTCATGGGTCCCTGTACGGCCTCCCATTGCTGCTGTCTCCATCGCCACACTCTGCCATGTGCCACTTTCAGGTCTCCTCACACTGCTAGTGGGTTCCATTTTGTCATAGGGTGCTGGCAGATTACGGGCCTCCCATTGCTGCTGCCAGGCCCGTAATCTGCCATGGGCCCCTGTACCGCCTCCTAATGCTGCTGCCAGGTCCAGAGTGTGTCATGGGTCCCTGTACGGCCTCCCATTGCTGCTGTCTCCATCGCCACACTCTGCCATGTGCCACTTTCAGGTCTCCTCACACTGCTGGTGGGTTCCATTTTTGTCATAGGGTGCTGTATGGCCTCCCATTGCTGCTGCCTCCACCGCCACACTGTGGCTCCACACTCTGGTTTTGGCCCCGTGACTGCCCAAATGAGTGAAGTGTGCGGTGATTCTAAGATCGACGGCACTCATCTGCATGTCATACTGACTGACAGTATTATTTCTCTTCCCCAGCAGACTCCAAGGGCATTTAAATTAAAGGTACAGTGTTCTGCACTAATATAAAGGCTCTCTGAAGCCTAGAAACACCCTTTTATAAGTTAAATTCGTAGCGAATATATTCGCATCTAATCGAATTTATTCCTCGAATTCGCCGAATCAGCCGAAACGAATTTTTGAATACTTCGCTCATCTCTCTATTCTTAAACAAAAGCTCTTGTTCTTTTATACACAATATGGAAACTCCACATGAGCTCTGAATGCTCAGGTCCATGCAATCTCACCTGTGAATTATTAAACCTGTTGCAGATTGGGCAGCTCACAACTTGGATGAGAAAAGTTAGATGGCGCATTCTCTTGTGTATACATAGTAAAGTCAGCTTTACTATATTTGTCATTTTTTACATTCTTAAAAATGATGTACATAACTGGGTTCTATTACTATTGTTTTTAAACAGTAGTTTTAAACATGGGATATTTTAAAAAACAACTAATGTATCATTTTTTTTAAGTGATAATAAACATAACTTCTGAAGTTTAAAATATTTAACTATAGCTATTTAAGCCCTATCCTCAAATCTATAATGTTCTTCTCAACGTGACCATATGTACAAAAGATGTTAGAGTGCCCACTTTGTCTATGTCTTTGCCCTTCATGGGTCTGAATACTGGACCTTCTTAGGACATAAATATTGCGTAAAAAAAAAAAAAACTTCAGCCCAAACATCTACTTTCAGTTGTCTTAATATACAGGATTTATTATACAGGATTTATATGTGCCAATTGTTTTATTGGTGTTTGTAATGAACTGCAAAGTAACACTCATTGTTGATTGTCCTCAACAATTGTGTGCAGAGAGCTTGGATATAGACAAGTATGCTAGAAAGTTTAATCACTAAATCAGGAGTCTCCAAAGTGTCTAAACAAAGGGCCAGTTTACTGCCCTTCAAACTTAAAGGAGGCTGAATGTTGTCAGTGGGCAGAATAGTGCCCCATCATTAATGTCAGTGGGCGGAATAATGCCTCATGATTGGTGACAGTGGAAGGAATAGTACACCATCATTGGTAGTGGGAGGAATGGTATGCCATTGTTGGTGTCAGTGGGAGGAATAATGCCCAGTTTTTGGTGTCAGTGATTATGTCCAATTGTTGGTATCAGTGGGAGGAATATCATCTCCTATCAGTGAGAGGAATAGTGTCACAAGAGCCAGATAAAAGCAAGCAGTGGGACACATCTGGCCCCAGGTCTGCAGTTTGGAGACCACTGCTCTAAATAGAAATAACATGATAAAACTGTAGTTAGATAAGTCTGTCCATATTCAGATTTTATTAATACACAGAATCCATTTAAAGGATAAGTTCACCTTTGGAACATGTTAGGGTGGAACATGTAACATGTTCCAATAGCCGCAGCAGCACCCGCCACCCCCTCCATCTGACAGATAGTACGGGGAGAAGTTTCCCCGTACCATCTGTCAGATTTGAAAACAACATGGCCATGGCTCTGCCTATACGGCCACGTTACTCATTCACAGAGTTCTGTGAGTGCATACAATTCCCAGCAGCCTTAGCGGCTGTCGGCTTGTAGTTTTCAATGAACTACCACATGGCACTGTGGAGTGCTGTGGTAGTTCATTCAAGCTTTCTGTCAGAATATCTGCTTGTCCATATATCCTGTACGGCTATTAGATATTCTGACAAGTCTGCAGGAGACCTGCATGGTATCAGTGATCTACTGATCGCTGGAGCAATGCTTTACAGGCTCCTTTGGACAAAAATAATAAATGCACATTTTTTTACCTGCAAAAAAAATGTGCATTTATTATTTTTGTCCAAAAAGGTGAACTTATCCTTTAAAGGCTATTTCCAACGTAAGAGCTTGCAAAGAGGTTGTCTTCAATCTTTAATTTGGAAATAACACAATTACTAAACTCCTCACACAGCTGGTGAGATTAAAATGTTTTCAGCCTCTTTGTCCTTGTCTTAATAAGCAGAAAAATATAATTATGGATGTTTGCTTTCTGATATCTGCAACTGTATCAATCAAAATGTTATAGAAAGGCCAATTTTTATGCATGGCCAATTTCATCCATCAAATTCTTAACCGACTCTTTTTCAGGACTTGAACAGGCTACCTGCTGTCACATTATGTTATATATATAAATATGATAAGATACACAATACCGGTATGTTTTGAAGCTATTTTATTCAGTGGAACAAAAATCTAACATATAACAATTTCCCAATCTAGTGTCTAGAATAGATCAGCATACTTCTTGCTGAATGTTTGTTGGGTATCCATATAATACTTAAAAGTCTTTACAGCTATAATTTCATCAGAGAGGTTAGACTGTTTGTGCAGATGTACTGAATTCAGAAATCTGAACTAGCAATATGTGTAACAGGGTAGTATCTCAACCCCTGTGCCATACTTGGTCACCATCCATGTAATAAATTGCGGCTTTCTCCTTTTTCACATCTCTTCCATGGACATCTTGACCGCCTTCCCAGTAGTGTCAATAGCGCAGAAAGGACTTAAGTCCATTACTGCCAGCAATCTGTGCTCCTAGAAAAAAGATATCAGACTGAAGGTGGTTAATGTCAGAATTTTCTAATAAATGAAATTTGGTATTATAGCTTCCCATCCCTTGGTAATCCCAGGGAAGTGTAAAAGGAGGGGTAAAAACAGAAAGACCTTCACTCTATGCCAATGACTATAGACTAGTATGTTTAGTGTTGCCCACCCCTGAGAAGCTTTGGAGAGCTTTTGAAAATCTGTTTGTTTGACATCATCTGTAAAGTGAAAGTCCAGTTGTGTTAATGATCCCCTAGCACAGTTTTAATTGTGTGAGGGAGGAAGTGAGGCAATTATATGAGCCAAGGGATGTGTATTCTAAGGAATCTGCTCTACAAACTATAGTCAGGTGCTATGGTACACAGCAGGGAAATTTTAATCTAATTTTTTAACTTTAGAAAACTTTAGATGACTGCTGAACAGCCAATTCAGTGAATGACAAAAATGAAGTACAAGCAATTACATTTATCATTTTTTAACAAAACCAGAGTTACCCTTTTTATCATTGTATTAATGTAGTACATTAATAATACTGTTAATACTAGATTCATTTTGAAAATGCTAGTTTCCTTGTTATGTCTTTAATACTAAATCAAAGACCCAAAACATTCCATCAGCAGATTTGGGAGGAAATACAGAATTCCTTATTTTTTTGCTTGTTCCGGATCAATGAAAGTACTGAATCCAAAGCATCAACATAACAGCCAGACAAATAAATTCTCAGAAAAAAAGCTAACAATGGTAGCCTTTCACTTTTCTCGGAAATTTCCTTTATGTGCAGTAATCTATATCAACCAAACTGGATCAACTATATACTGTGTGACTTTAGCATTGTAAATTCTGATTGGGTAGATCACCTTAGTGATGATAATATGATTGGCTTACTAGGTTTTGTGTGTGTTTTTCAGAAAATGCCAGACAAAGGCAAGATGGAGTGGTAAGCAACTCAATAATCTATTTCACAGAAGATCCACCAGAACTTCCAGCTAACAGTCCACACCCACTGAAACTGAGACGCATACTCAACCTGAGTCCCTTTACTGTCACTGACCACACACCTATGGAGACAGTAGTAGATATCTTTAGAAAACTTGGACTAAGGCAATGTCTTGTTACTCGTAGTGGGTAGGTATCTATCTATCTATCTATCTATCTATCTATCTATCTATCTGTCAGTTTTGTTTGCCATCTGTGTCCCATTAGGGAAATTTTCCTTCAATTATGTCCCCTAGCTAAAACAGAAAGTGAGAAGAAATCCCCCCAAAGTGAGGGAATCCCTGGTTGTTCCCAGGGTCACAAGAACTAATGTCCCCATTGCACATTTTCCCGATTATTTCTGTTTTTTGGGACAGCCCAAAATTTGGGATTTTCTTTTACTCTTGGTTCTAAAGGTAAACAGTAGAAATAGAGATGGTGAATCTTAGTGATAAAAACCTGACAAGTGTTCTAAGCGTTCTCCACCCTATCCAAGACTAATATTTGAATATCTGAGTATCAGGAAGCATGTAACTCCCTCTCCTTGCTTCCAAAATCAGTATTGGGTGCCTCAGCAGTCAATTGTTAGGCCCAAGTCCTGATCAGTCTTTAGCCCTGTGTAAGTGCTGATCAGATTTATATAGAGCTTACAAAGGGCTTGTTCACTTTGCTCCAGTGAAATATGGATGGGAATCAATATGGATGGGAGTCTTGGACTTGGAAATTAATTTATTGCTCAGGCAAGAAGTTTTGGTTAAATAGTGACTCACAGGCTGGGTAGGGAATGGCTGTGTAGGTGCTATATTAACCAGCAGGTGACATACAATTATGCCTATAGCTCCCAGTCCTGGAACAAAGCAGGCTGTAGCAAGGTAGGAGAGATTACATGGTGAGAGAAACACGAGTGACAGACCAACTTTGCTGTTTATTTGTTACATCTCCCATTTAGCAACAATGATCACTACAGGGGAAAATCTAATATCTAGTTGGCCAGCCATTGTTGGCTAAGTCTTCTTAATAGTAATAACAATGTACAGATATTTATATTTTGCCTGATTGCCGTTTTGTTATTTTCCCTTAAATAAGCTGAGGTATCTGGAGCATGCCTATCCCACCCTGCTTCATAGGTTAGACATGAATAGTCATCATGTGACTCTGAAGTCTTAAAGTGCATGTAAAGCCAAACAATTAAACTAAATTTGTGGAGAGGTGCAGCGTGGTGTGGCAGCAGTGATCACACAATCCATTTGCAATAAATGTGAAACTTGTATTGAGTAGAATGCCAAAGTTATAAACACCATAAGGGGAGAGCACCATTTAGGGGAACACTCACAGTTCAGTGTAGTTCATAAAGTGGCTAAGGAGACATGCTGACAGCGTCTGTCTCAGAGGCAGTAGAGCGCAGCCTGGCTGATCTTGTCAGAAGCAGGGAGGTATTCGTCCAGGAATGCGAGTCCCTAACCTGTCGTATTTTGTCTGGAACTTCTCCCTATCGATAAGTACTTTCCCTGGGGGGGTCTCTTTCCCTATCCTAGTTACTCGCCAAAAAGTGCACCAGAACTCAGGGGCAGGGGCTTAAATCGACCCTGCTAACCCAAGATGGCTGCCAAGATTCACAAGGCTGTAGCATAGCCAATCAAAATGCTGCTCCATAGAGATACTGTGTTTCCCTTGACTTCCTCTCCAGTCTGTAGTACTCAGGTTTGAGCGCCATCCACAGTGGAGAAAGCAGACTGTACCTGCCTACAAATTAAATATACCATTGAAAGTGTTTTGTTATATTTGCTTGATCTAAAAACACACTTAAGCCTGCCAGAAATTCAGTGCTGTCCTGTGCAATTTGAAGTGTTATCCCAACCTGTGTTATCAGCTCTGCCCAGTTAACTTTGGTGGACTACAGAACACCTTTCCCTGTGTTGTGGAGATGAGGAAAGAATGGGGTTTTGTCTTACTAACACACAATCACTCCTAGAGTGACAACAGTTCTACTTCATAGATAAAGTACAGCAGTGAGTGTTTTCACCTTTTTACTAGAAGTGTGTTATAAATAGGATCAACAGGTAAAACTAAAGGAAAGAGGGTCTGAAAAATGACTACTGCCACCATATCCAAGGACTAGTAAACTGGAATATAAAACATTAATCTTGGAATTAGATAACTTTATTAAGGCACCGAATTTATCATTTCTTCTGGAGTACTCATTGTGCAGTTTGGCAGATCCAGGTCAGGTTTGGCTAGTGGCAACCCGTTACTCTATGGTAATAAAGCCCCACAGAAGAACACAGTGAGTCCCAGTAAATGTCATACAATAGGTTTACATTGAAGGCTGTTTTATGCACAGGAATATCACAAATAGGATGAAGGGGTTTGTAGGGTATGTTAAATGTTATAAAAAAGTTTATTGCACTACGTTTTCATATGCAAAGGTTATCATCACTGTTTCTGAATTCTTCAACACATCCGGTTTCCAAAATATTAATACCTACTTTATTATTGTGAAATACAGTTTGAAACTCTGTCACTTCTCTGGGGAACTGTTTTAATGAAATAAAATATATTGTTTTCTTCAGAAACATACAGAAAATGCCATGTATGACCTGCCCTGTCAAAGTGCTGATTTTCACAATGCACAGCTTCTATTGTATTCAGTCGTTTGCACACCACATCTGTTTGACTTTCCAGAAACCAAATGGAAATTAGAAATAGCACACCATGTGTTTTTCTTCTGGTTTCTCACTGTTTTATTGAAGCACAGAGACGGATTTTGTGTGATTTACAGGGGCCACGTGCACAGTAAAGTAGAATGTTGTGAACTGTCTTCTAATGATCTTTATGGGTTTTTCCTGGTTATTTCCTACAGGAGGCTTCTGGGTATTATAACGAAAAAGGATGTTTTGAGGCACATGGCTCAGATGGCTAATCAAGACCCCGAATCGATCATGTTCAACTAGGCTATACAGCGCATCCACAGGAAATTTAGCAGAATCCCTTGACGCTAATGAAAGCTTTTCTCTGTGATTTTGAAAAGAGCAGGAGCTGGTACCTTGCAGAGGCTTACGTTAAGGAACTGTTGATTTAACAGATCTACCTGACATCAGGTCGTGGAAAGATGTAAACTGACAATGAGACTAAATACTTGAAGACGGATTTAAGGAACAATTGTGTGGAACTGCTTTACAGTATTGTAATGTACTTCTGTTCATCAATGCACATCCCACAGTGTGGCACATTTATAAAGCAGAGAATCTGACATTCAGCAAACATTCTCTGCAAGTGTATCTTCCAGGTTCATGTGTCTTAAATTATAGTGATTGATTATCCACCAGGGAATGTTTGGTGAAAGTCACTTTCACTGCTTTATGAATAGACCTTAAAGTGTTCTCTCGAGATTCCGAGAACCATGCATGTGTGTGAGTGGATGTGGATTTCTCACTTATCATCAAGTATTTTTATTGACAAAAAGCTCTGTTACAAAATGTTACTAATATTTATGTTAGATTTTGTTTTTGAAAAAGCTGCAGAATGGATGGTATATAGTAATGAGGGAATTGATTTACAAAGATTTGTCTGGTCTTTAGAGCATCATAGCAGATATTATAGGAAGAACCTGCTTTCTGCATCCTAATGGTGTATGGTAAAAAGGCCAGTAGACTGAGAAGCGTATTGGATACCTACTTTTTAATATTTTTGTTTTACACTGGCATATTGTACATTGCTATACATAGTAGTGCTATCCATTTATATCAGTCTCTGCCTCTCTTAGACTTCTGTAGTGCTCACCTCTTAAGAGGAAATTGAGTTTAATGGACCCTCCTAGCCTTTCTACAGGTAAACTGTCTCACAGCTGCCCCACAAAACCATTAAAACTTGCATGGTGACTGAATGATTGGCTTTCACTTTGTCAGTCTTCAAATGCATTCCCTGAATGAGTTACCTGGCTTCCTGAAATGTCCAGGCTTGTACCCAACAATTCCAGACACTATTCAGAAAAAATATCTCCCCTGGTGCTCCCATCCAGGCTTCAGTCTCAGTCCTCCTGGATGTACCCTTCAGCGAGGCAGTGAAAGCTCTTTAGGCCCCAGAACCAGGTCTTTTTTCTCACAACACATGTACCCTCCTCAGGCAGCAGGCCTGAGAGGTCAGCAATACACATCCTTCCCAGGCAAAGCCTGGGCGACAGGAAAGAGTCTGTACCATGTGATCACTGTGACCAATCACAGATATCACCACAAAAGTACACAAAGAATGGTGAAGAATGAATGCCCCTCATTGTGTACAAATGTCATGTGACTGCTGTGAGTGGTCACAGTGGTCGCATGGTACCGGGACTGTCACCCGCTGTGTCCCGTGGGTGACAGATTATTATTTATTATTATACAGTATTTATAAAGCGCCAATGGTTCGCTCAGCGCTGTACATTACAAAGGGGGGACAGAACATGTGACAGAACAATTCCAATACAATGCAAAACATGAGGGGATCGAGGGCCCTGCTCTTTCGAGCTTACAATCTAGGAGGGAGGGGATAGTGGTACAGGAGGAGATAGCTGTGGGGGATGGAGTGATAGGAAGAGTGGAGGAGGTTGGCAGGTTAGCAGGGGGTGGGGTAGGCTTCCCTGAAGAGATGGGTTTTCAGGGTGCACCTAAAGGAGAGAAGAGTATGTGATAATCTGATGGGTTGGGGCAGGGAGTTCCAGAGGATGAGTGACACCCTGGAGAAGTCCTGGAGGTGGGCATGGGAAGAGGAGACCAGGGAACTAGAGAGAAGGAGGTCTTGTGAGGAGCGGAGTGTGCGTACTGGGCGGTACTTGGATATTAGGTCAGTGATGTAGTACGGGGCAGTATGGTGGACAGCTTTGTACGTCAGTATTAGGATTTTGAATTTGATCCGTTGCGCAATCGGAAGCCAGAGGAGGGATTGGCAGAGGGGGGTGGCGGAAATGGAGCGGTTGGAAAGGTGAATGAGTCTGGCAGCCGTATTCAGATCACCCTGTATCATGGCCTCTAGGGTGTGCACAGGGCGCGTGACTGGCAGGACATTATATGACGTCAACCCAGAATAAGAGAGCTCACGCTCGGCCGTCTTTTGATTATAGGCCAGACAGAAAGTGGCTAAAGTGAAACCACAACCCAAAATCACTTTACAAAACAAAACAGTCCAGTGATATTAATGTCTGAATTCTCACCCTGAGTGCCCTGTGTTGCTCCTCCACCTCTCAAAATCTGGCACTCTACTTTTTGTATATTCAGGCACCTTTTGCATGCATGCATTGAAAATATTGTGTGTGCGCAGCTTGCCAAACTCTATGCTAAAGTTCCATGCCAATCCAATCTCACAGTCTTACAGGGGCATGTCTTGTTGCTGGAGGAGAGCCAACATTCATCATTTTCCTTACCTGCTATTTCACCCAAGAAATCCACAATTCCAGATTTAACAAAATCATCTAAAGCTATATTCATGTACAACTGTGTTCATTTTAAATAACAAGGCAGAATGTTCTTCTTTAGGTAGGTGGTTAAGGGGTGAGAAAGCAACCACTTATTATTATTATATCACCCCTTAACCACCCATGTAAATAAGGCATTATTCTCAGGATTACCAAGTGAAAATATAGGAAAAAGAAAACTAATGCAGACACCATATCTAAGGACTGTTAAGATGCAATATAATACAGTTTTGTAGTTTAGATCTGTGGGCACATATATAATGAGCAAGACCCATCTACTACACTTATAAAAGTACAGCACATTCTCTCTTAGCTTAACTTCTGCATTGGACTGGGACTGATAGAAATTATATTAACTTTTATTGTGTTATAAATTGACATATATTACTACTGATGTCCCTACAAAAAAATCCACTGCTTTTATACAAACATTACAGCTGCAAATTTCGTTTTAGAAATTCCTATTTATGAGTGAGCTATAGTCAATAAAAAAAAACAAAATAAAATAATGTAAGTAATTTAATACATAAAACTGTTTACAAACAAGTGGAAATAAAAGTATAATTGAGCCATCAATATGCAAACTAGCATAATAAAGAACAATAATATGTATTAATCATTTATAGAGAGGCTTGACTTGAACACATGGAGATCAGGGCATCAAACTAATACTAAATGTACAGTAGATATGCGGCTGATATAATTTATGGTGAATAACTTTTTTAACAGTTAAATGAAGCATAAATACATGAATTATTGGCAATACCGTGTCCACTGTTTTATTTCGTATTACTTTATGTACATGATGCTTTATCAACTGCTTGCTTTTTTTGGAAGTTAATATACAATATATATGATAAGGTGTTTTTAGGCCTCATGCACACTGTCCGTTTTACAGCTGCTCCATGTTTTACTACCTCTAAACCCTCCTGCATGTTATCCTATGTGTTCATACACACATAGGAATTTAGCAGTGTTTTGTGGCAGGAGAGTTTAGTGGCAGAAAAAAACCCCACTGCCAGGGCGTCCTGGAGCAGCGTTTTAGCTGAAAAAATGCTCGATGCACTTAAACGCATCTAGACATGCCTAAACGTGTGTTAACACTAGGCGCTGTGATGAACGTGGAGGTCAGACCCCTGCCATTCTCACCAGCTCATGACAAAGGACTGGCCAAGTTCACATTGTGCTGTCACTAACGTAACAATGACACTCTCAGATGCACCCTGTACAAAGATTTTCCAGCTCGCGGGACCACGATCTCGGTGCCAGCTTCCCGAGAGCGATTGTCACTGGGTTAAGTTAACTAAGCAATTAACTCTTTAAGTTACCACCACCTTTTCGCTGAGAAGGAGGAAACTCACAATCTTAGAAATAACAACTATGATTTTAGAATAAACATCTGTAACATTTATTTATTATAGGTACTTGTATAGTGCTGTCAATTTATGTAACACTTTACATATATATTGTACATTCACATAATTCCCTAACCCTCAAGGGGCATACAATCTAAGGTCCCTAACTCACATTCATACATACACATGCTACGGCCAATTTAAACATGAGCCAATTAACATACCAGCATGTCTTTGGAGTGTGGGAGGAAACTCACACAGGTACAGGGAGAGCATGCATACTCCAGGCAGGTGGTGCTGTGGTTGGGATTTGAACCAATGACCCTAGTTCTGCCAGGTAGATGTGCTAACCATTTAGCCACTGTGCTGTGCTGCACATGTAACACACACTGTCACCACAGAGAGGAATGTTTAGAGATTTATACTACAGTAGCACACCTTCAGAGTCAGGGATTCTTTTAGTTTGCATTAGCGCATTTAGGCTCCAAGCTTTAACCTAAAGAAAACGCTGGATAAAAAACGCTGGTAATAGCGTTTTTGGTAGTGTTTAAGAGTGTTAGAGTTTTATTAGCATTTTTCAGAACATATAGGGAGAGAAAAAAAGCTAGAAAAAGCTATTAGGAGCATTTTAGTAGTGTTTTGGAGCATTTATAATTTTTTTTCTGCTGGAAAAACACTCCGAAAAAACACTACAAAAAAATTTTTTTTCTGCTCCTATACACTAAAACTTGAAAAACACTACTAGCCTAAAAGGGTGTGCTTGGGCACATAGGAAAACACTAATTAGCTTCTAGGAGCAGAAACAAATGCTGATAACAGCTTCTAGAAGCTTAAAAAACGGTAGTGTGCATAGAACCTTAGAGACAATTTCAACACTTTTCAAAATATGGTTTAAACCAGTAGTAAATCGTGCAAAAAAAAATTCTCTAAAAAATCTTCTTCTGCAAGTTAAGAGCATAATGTGCTAGTATGCATAGCATACTAGCACAATATGAAAGACTTACCTGAAAACGAAGCCTTCCACCAGAGCGCTCTCACGGCTCCTTGAAGCTTCCATCTTCACCCAGCCTTACTTTCGGGTTCACAAGCCGCAGTCTTCTGATTGGCCAAGTGGCGATGTCATCACTTTGAAGGGAGTTTCAGCTGTGGA